ATCCAGCATGGATGGCAGCCGAGGCCGCCTAGCATGGAGTGGTTGTACTTCACCGGGGTGCTGGCGGCGGCGTGGGCGGGGGCACCAGAGGGGTGGGGGGTCACAGCACATGCCCAGCCCCTGCCAAATACCGCCTGCTCCAGCTGGGAGGGCAGCCGACGGTGCCCCTGCTACACGTTCAATGATGGCGTCTTCCTCGAGTGCTCCATCGTGTCTCTGCCCACAGTGGTCAGAGTCGTGGATCTCGCCCAACAGCCCATCAAGTCCCTCATTATATACCACCTGGACGGCAACGTGACCTTCCTTCCACCGGGACTCTTCAGCCGGAGTGCCGGAGTTTCCAGTCTGCAGATTTCACATTCCAGGCTTCAACATATCGTGGAGGGCAGCTTGCACGGCCTGGAGAGCTCCCTGCAGAGCCTCGCCATCACACACAGTCATCTTTCCACCGTCCCTAAGACTGAATTTCAAAAGCTTTCCCGACTTAGGTCTTTAAACCTGGAATCCAACAACATAACAGAGCTCCAGAGTTATAGTTTATTCAAAATGAACTTAGTCAGTCTTAACCTGAAGGATAATGGCTTAAGACTTATATCAGAGTACGCCTTCGACGGCCTCGAGGAGACTTTAGAAGAGCTCAACATCATGAACAACAAACTAAAGCAGCTTCCAATACCGGCACTCCGACGGCTCAGTAAACTGCGCGTGTTGAAGGCCAATTGGAACTGTATCTCAGACGTGGTGAGTGACGGGTACTCTCGCCTTCCCGCCCTCCAGACGCTGGACCTCAGCAGTAACCACTTCACCGAACTAACGAGCAGCAGCCTAGACACAATGCCCGCACTTATCTCCCTCTCCCTCTACCAGAACACCATCTCTCACGTGGCTGGTGACAGTTTTATACAAAACTCTGGCCTACAGATGCTCTACATGAGCCACAATAACATTATAACACTCGCTCCCGAGACTTTCTCTTACACTATGTTCATCAGAGTGATAGACCTCGGCGACAACCACCTCCACTCCATCAGTAACGGGCTCTTCAATAACCTTCCCGAGCTACAAGAGGTCTTCCTGGCTAACAATAACATATTAAAAATATCCAACAACACCTTCGTTAACTCAACTAAGATCTCTGTCCTTTATCTCCAGGATAACGAGATACACTCCATCGAGAGAGGCGCCTTGGCCAACATGGAGGCACTCTTCGACCTCCATCTCGGGTCCAACAACTTGGTGGAGATCCCTGTGGGTCTGTTCTCAGACACACTTATACTCAATTCCCTTAGTCTGGACAGCAACAGAATCACAGAGCTGGCAGACGGGACCTTTACCCACCTCACAGCGCTGAAGGAGCTGAGACTACAGAACAACAGGCTCTCCAGGGTCGAAAAAGGAACCTTTTCCCCTCTGACGAACCTCTTGGAGCTGCACCTGCAGAATAATCTTATTAGCTCCCTTGCCTCAGGGGCTTTCTCTTCATTAGGAAAATTACAACACTTAAATCTAGACGGTAATATGTTGTTTGAACTTCCTGACGCTCTCAGCAAAATTCCAGCGAATCTGATAACTGTAAAGTTCTCAAAAAATCAAATTAAAGTTATCCACGCGAGCGCCTTCAGAAAACAAAATAAACTTGAAATATTTTGGTTAAGCGATAATAACCTGACGACTGTGCATAAGATGTTATTAGAAGATCTGTCCTTGTTACAAGAACTGTATATGGAGAATAACCAGATTGCCAGCATCCAGGATAAATGTTTCGAGAACCTCAAGAAGCTGGAACTTCTTTCCTTGGCTAACAATTACCTACAGCGCATCGGTCCAGCACTCTTTGAGGGCCTCACGTCACTGGAAAAACTTTATCTGAGGAACAACAGAATCTCGGAGGTGAGCCCACAAACTTTCTATCACCTAAGAAACCTTCAGGACCTCGACCTAGCCAACAACCAGATCCTCGTTATCAGGCGTCACATGTTTGAGGGCAACCTTCCTCTACGTACATTGAATCTGATGGGCTCTATGATCAGTGAAATCGACCCGTATGCCTTTAACAATCTGCGCAAACTGGAGGAACTGAACCTGAAGGGCAATATGCTGGCTCGCCTCAACAAAAGTAAACTCTACATCAACGTACACAGCCTCAGGAATCTTAATCTTGCCGATAATAAATTTGAGATTATCGAAGAAGACTCTCTTTACAGCCTACCCAACCTGAACTTATTAGACCTGAGTGGCTGTGACCTCCCCAGACTCCCGACACATTTTCTAGCCGAAGCAACGGAGCTCATATCGCTCAATCTAGCCAGGAACAACTTCAGAAGTCTCAACTCTGTGCTCTTCCAAAAGACAAGTAACCTTAAAGAACTTGATCTGTCATTCAGTAATCTAAACTCCTCAATATTCGGCTCTATAGAAGGTCTGGCTAACCTTGAGGTGCTGATACTGAGTGGTAATCCTCTGAATGAACTTCGTGGGCTTATACACGACTTGCCGAGCCTTCAAGAATTCTACTTATCTGACACCTACATGACGAGGATGGATAACACCATTTTCACCAAATTAAAAAACTTAAAAATCCTTGATCTATCCTGTAATCGCCTGCTGGATATCCCACCTGGAATCTTTGAAGGTTTGGATATAGAGAAACTGAGCCTCGCCGACAATTCCTTCAGTCAGATTCCCAACGCTATGTTCTTGGATGGTATGTCGTCTTTGCGGTTTCTCAACATGTCTGGTAACCCCATGAGGCGGGTGGCTGGTCCCCTGGTGGCCGGTGGTCCTCCTCTGATGGCTCTTGAAGAACTGGAAGCCACGAGAACCAACCTGACGACGTTGACGAGTCATGACCTGCAGTTAACGCCGGCACTCAGTTCCCTCAACCTAGCTCATGCGGGTATTACTAAGATCTCTCCGGGGTGTTTCAGGAACCTAACCCAGCTGTTCCATCTCAATCTAGCCTTCAACCGCCTAAAGGTCCTTCCGAGGGATCGACTCCGGGGGCTCCAGGCACTCTCCCACCTCAACCTGACGGGGAACGTTATCGAGAGGTTGGATCAGTTACCACAAGGAGCGCATACCCTGAAGGTAAGTCTGGTCTCACTTTACACTAATACAGTGTAATCCTAACCTAACCTAACCAAACTTTAACCTAACCAAACTTTAACCTAACCAAACTTTAACCTACCTAACCTAACAATAACCTTACCTAACCTTACCTAACCTAACCTAATTTAACTTATCCCAATATTATCTTAGGATCATCGTAAAGTTAAGGCTTGGTAGTGTCTGTCTGTCGTTGTCTTGAGAAGCCGCCGCCGTAAGAATCCTTGATTTATTTTAAGAAACAACGTCACGCACTCTAGCCAATCACAGGCCGGCTGACGGACGCTCACTAGCTGCGCGTGACTGAAACAATGCAAAAAAAAAAAGGAATACATTTCCTGATCCTGTAATTGTAATGATATAAACAATTAATCCTTCAAGCAAGATTACTTAGCCCTTTGAAGGCGACGACTTTGCCCCCTTTAATACGATGACTTAAGCCCTTTAAAACGAGGACTTAGGATTTAACCCCTTGAGCATGATGAGTTATAATGCTCAAGGGGATGAGTCGTATATATATCATGTCTATTTGCGTGCGTGTGTGTGTGTGTGCGTGTGTGTGTGTGTGTGTGTGTGTGTGACGTTTCCAGAGGGCTAACATCCATACTGTCTACTGAGATGTACAATAATCACTGATAAATTTGAAGTCAGTACAATTACAGGTCAGGATTGTGTTCCGTCACCTTTATACAGCAACAACAGGTAACATTGATGACGACAATTACTATGAGTGTAAGTGATGGTGTAAGTGTTAGATTATAATGACATAATTCCTTGTAAGATTTAATTATGATATAAGCCTTTGTTTACCTTCTATAACACTATGATCTATAACCTTAAATTCGATAGCTAATAATGTCCTTATCTCCCCCCACTCACCCCTCTCCCCACTCACCCCCCACCTCCACCCCTCTCCCCCCCCCACTCACCCTCTCCCCCCTCACCCTCTCCCCCTCCACTCCCCCACTCACCCCTCTCTCCCCCACTCACCCCTCTCCCCCCACTCACCACTCACCCCCCCCACCCCTCACAAGGTACTGGACGCATCAGGCAACATGCTCACCTCACTACTACAATCAACCTTCAAACACGGCACCTCCATCAAAACCCTCCTCCTGGGCTCGAACTGGGTCACTTCCATTCACCCTCAAGCATTCGCGCCACTCCACAACCTCAGGCTTCTAGATCTCTCCTATAACTACCTAGAGGATGTGGATATCAAGGTCTTGGAGCCCATTGAGAGGAGCCTAGAGACCCTACAGCTAGCGGGTAATCCTTTAGTCTGTGGGTGTAAGGTGAAGGCGCTGTGGTCGTGGCTTCAGGATCACCTGTCGTATGTGTCTGAGTCGACCCCCTTCACCTGTCATCTTCCCAAGGTGAGGCTGTTGTTATTAGTCATTATTACCCTGTGTGTGTGTGTATGTATGTGTGTGTGTGTGTGTGTGTGTGTGTGTGTGTGTGTGTGTGTGAGAATTATAAACACTTCCATAACTCTGCACATAATAAATGGTTAACAAACACACACACACACACACACACACACACACACACACACACACACACACACACACAAACACACACACACACACACCCTCATAACATTAAATAAATCCTTAAACCCTAAACACGCATCCTAAACAACAACAGTAACAAAAACAACAACACCAACAACACCACCAAACATCCTCCAACTCCTACTATCCTCCCTTCATGACCATCCTTCCTCCCACAGGTACTAAGTGGACGAAGTTTCCTCTCTCTGCCCACCTCCTCCTTCTGTCCTCAGCCACTCATCGCCCACCTAGCAGTGAGAGACATCCAGAGCCAGTCACTGCTGGTCTCATGGCAATCTACTAATACTACTCCTATTATTGGCTTCAAGGTATGTCTCTATGTCTGTCTGTCTGTGTAAAGTCTGTCTGTCTGTGTGTTTGTATGTCTGTCTGTCTGTTTTGTGTGTTTGTATGTCTGTCTTTTTTTATTTCTGTCTGTCTGTTTTTGTGTGTTTTGTGTTTGTTTTTATCTGTCTGTCTGTCTGGTTGTCTGCTGTCTATGTGTCTGTCCGGAAGCAGTAGTAAAAAGAGAGAGAGAGAGAGAGAGAGAGAGAGAGACCATATATAACTCTAAGGGCATAGAAGTATCGTCTCGCCATTGATAAAAGTTCCCACGCGTATTAATATTCTACCTGGTCACAACACGCTCCTAGCTCTCTCTCTCTCTCTCTCTCTCTCTCTCTCTCTCTCTCTTGTGACTCAATTCTCTCAGTAAACGCTATTAAATAATTATGTAAATGACTGGCACTCAACCTTGTAAATCACCACCTGTTGTCACTGTTGTAAATTACCACCCCCACCTGTTGTCACTGTTGTAAATTACCACCCCCACCTGTTGTCACTGTTGTAAATTACCACTCCCACCTGTTGTCACTGTTGTAAATTAGTACCACCACCTGTTGTCACTGTTGTAAATTAGTACCCCCACCTGTTGTCACTGTTGTAAATTAGTACCACCACCTGTTGTCACTGTTGTAAATTACCACCCCCACCTGTTGTCACTGTTGTAAATTAGTAATTACTGTACCCCCACCTGTTGTCACTGTTGTAAATTAGTACCACCACCTGTTGTTACTGTTGTAAATTACCACCCCACCTGTTGTCACTGTTGTAAATTAGTACCACCACCTGTTGTCACTGTTGTGTAAATTCCACCTGTTGTCACTGTTGTAAATTAGTACCCCCACCTGTTGTCACTGTTGTAAATTACCACCCCCACCTGTTGTCACTGTTGTAAATTACCACCCCCACCTGTTGTCACTGTTGTAAATTACCACCCCCACCTGTTGTGTATTGAGTGAACCCCAGTCAAGACCCACCTGTTGCTTCATCATAATAATAAAGACCCACCTGTTGCTTCATCATAATAATAAAGACCCACCTCTTGCTTCATCACCATAAAGCTTTAAAGACCCACCTGTTGCGTCATCATAATAATAAAGACCCACCTGTTGCTTCATAATAATAATAAAGACCCACCTGTTGCTTCATCATAATAATAAAGACCCACCTCTTGCTTCATCACCATAAAGCTTTAAAGACCCACCTGTTGCTGTCTCTCCCTCCTACAGGTGTCCTTCAGAGAGACAACACGAGACGGTCAGGTCATAGGAGGTCTCAAGACTCAGCCCCTCGATGCAGCCCTCAGATCTCACCTCCTGAAGGGGCTAAGACCTACTACCGATTACCTGGTGTGTGTCCATGGCGTGCCAGCCCCCACCACCTCCACCAGCCCCTTCTACTTCGCCTCCTCCTCTAGGGGTACCAATAGCAGAGCCACCTCCTCCATACTCCCACAACAACCATTCCAGGACAACCATTATAGCAACCAACCAGTAAGTGTCTTGTACCACCTACCATAACAACAATTGCTACCACAACTAACTGCCCCTTTCCTTACTAACCCCCAACAACCACTAACCCCCCCCCCCTTCCACCATAACCATCACTCAGCCAACATGCCAAGTTTGATAACAGTAAGAATTAAGGTTCAGAAGTGCGGCAGGAGGAAGGATTGAGGTGCGGAAATGCGGCAGTAAGGATTAAGGTGCGGAAATGCGGCAGGGATTAATGGAACCCGTTTAAAGGTATGCAAAGTCGCCTCCATGTATGTGTGTGTGTGTGTGTGTGTGTGTGTGTGTGTGTGTGTGAAGCCTCCGTGTCTTACCAACTTCAAACTTCCCCCCCTCCCCGCCGCCGGTGAACTGAACCACCGAATAACCCTACTGTATTACACACACACACACACACACACACACACACACACACACACACACACACACACACACACATCATCATCTCAAAGTTTAAACGCCCGAACTAACTAAACAGTAAAGACAGACATCACACCAATCACATTACAGATTAACCCATAACATATGAAGCAAACAAGGTAATTACACCTGTGAATTAATTACTAATGAAGGTAAACTATTAATTATACTACGCACCAACTACTGTATTCAATAGTGATTTTTTTTCACTTTCAACTAACAATTTCTACCAATAGCTTGCAATAACATAATAATTTCAATACTATAATTTCTACCACAATAACAATCCTAACTACACAATTACCCTTAAAGACAATTGGGACTTATATTGAAGTTGTTAAGTATAATATAAATAAAGTTGTGTAAAGTGGGGAGTAGTTAAGGGAATTAGTTATTAGAACAGTGTTAGGTCAGGTCAGGTCAGGTCAGGTTAGGTTAGGCTAGGTCAGGTCAGGTTACGTTAGGCTAGGTCAGGTTAGGTTTAGTTACTTCTATTTAGCTGAATACAACAAGATTTACTGTATCGAACGTAAAACATCTTAGTTTGTTGAAAAATACAATTAGAGTAAATAAATAAATTAGATATGAATATTAAAAATTCAAGGAAAATTAAAGTTTAATAATGATGAGTCTTATGAGTTATGTGCAGGTTGGCTGTCTGGCTCAGATTTGGGTGTAATAATAATGATGATGATGTTGTAATTTGTGAGGTATGAGTCCTAGCTTATTACAGTGTGTGTGTGTGTGTGTGTGTCAGAGATATTGATATTCTATAAATTTCTCTTGACTTTTTTATGAGTCAAGTTGGGTCCTGATCTCTCTCTCTCTCTCTCTCTCTCTCTCTCTCTCTCTCTCTCTTTGTCTCTCTCTCTCTCTCTCTTGCTCCTCCCTCCTTCCTTCACATCCTCCAATAGAACGAGGCGGCTAAGTGTTTACGAATGAAGACGTAGGAACCTTCCCGACTCTCTCTCTCTCTCTCTCTCTCCACAGGATATAGCAACCATCCGTCAACTTGTCAAGAGCCTAGACCTGCCGCCCCCGGAGATTGCCCCCAATTCTCATTTGGTGCTTGTTTTTCTGTCTCTCTGTCAGTCTGTCTCTCAGCCTGTCCAAAGAATTGCCACCGCTAGAGATAATCCTAAACAGCTATTAATCCTCCACTCTCTTCTTTCTCTCTCCCTCTCTCTATTTCTCTCACTCTCTCATCCATCTCTCTCACTCCTCCAACAGGACATGGCGACCAAGTGTCTGCGTGTCAAGACCCAAGAGCCACCACCTCCAGAGATAGTCCTCAACAACAGGCTGGCTATCATGATAGGGGCGTCTCTCGGTGTCACCATCTTCTTCATAGCTGGTACCATCATCTGCTGCTGCCAAATGTGTAAGGACCGAAGAGAAGCGGCCAAGGGAGGTGAAGGGGCCAACTCATCCAAGCAGGACTACCTCTCCTACAGGCCGTTCTCTGCTCAGGGCAATGAAGCCAATTCCCACGAGGGCTATAGCGAGTGCTAGTTAAGGACGCAGCAGTGATGGGTTGGTTATTATACTCGTTGCTAGTTGAGAACGTTTACGAACACCAGCTCTGAGTAGTATAGTTGGGTGTGTTTGTTTGTACTAGCTGAACTGGTGAAGGTGGTTTTTTCTTCTCTTTTTTTCTAGTTAGGATTATTAGTCAGTTGTAGTAAATATCGATTCCTAGTAGTGCCAATTTGGTTCTTAAAGGTCTATTACTAGTGCTAGTTACAGTGAATACTTGTGCTAGTTGTGATGACCATGGAGGATCTGCAAGAGTATTAGCTAGTTAATGTGGCCATGAAGGTTGGTTACATGGAGTGCTAGTGCATGCTAGTTGGGATGTTTTAAGACTACCTCTCCTATTTTATGAAGGTTCACTGAGTGCTAGTAGGATGTTTCTCAGCAGAGGTGTATGTTAAAAGATGTTTGGCTAGTGTTAAGATCTGTTCACAAAAGGTATCATTATCAAGTGATGTTTCGCGAATGTTGAGAGATATTTTGCGAATGTTGAGAGATATTTCGCGAATGTTGAGAGATATTTTGCGAATGTTGAGAGATATTTCGTGAATGTCAAGTTGTTTGCAAAAAGCAACATTATCAAGTGATGTTTCGCGAATGTTGAGGGATATTTTGCGAGTGTCAAGGCATATTCGCAAAAAAGTACCAAATCAAGTGATGTTTCGCGAATGTTGAGAAATATTTTGCGAATGTAGAGAGATTTTTCGCGACAGTGATATCTCAAGGAAGTTATCAGATGTTTTGCCACTGAGAAACATAGCAAAATATTCCTCATACCAATACCTAAGTGATGAGATATTGATCGATTGAGACATAGGTTTTTGTCAATATTAAAACACCAAGACGTCTTTCAAAACGTATCTGTTGATAGTGAACGAAAGGGATCACCTGAAGATTAGACACCCCAGCTTAATTCGCCTGAAGATTAGAGACCAACGTCACTCCTCCCACACCCCACCTTACCTCCAAACACCTCCCTCCAACACTCCACCTTACCTCCAAACACCTCCCTCCAACACTCCACAACACCTCCAAACACCTCCCTCCAACGCTCCACAACACCTCCAACACCTTCCTCCAACACTCTACAGCACCTCCAACACTCTACAGCACCTCCAACACTCCACCTTACCTCCAACACCTTCCTCCAACACTCTACAGCCCCTCCAACACTCCACCTTACCTCCAACACCTCCCTCCAACACCTTCCTCCAACACTCTACAGCACCTCCAACACTCCACCTTACCTCCAACACCTCCCTCCAACAGCAATAAAACTCAGAACTTCCGCGCTATTTTTTCTAAAGGTCAAAAGATGAAAGGCTATTGTAATCGGCGTGTAGGGCGTGGGTCGAGGGGGTGGGTCGAGGGCGTGGGTCGATAAACTATACCCTACTCTAGTTAAAAAACGTGATCGTGACACTGAACAAAAAGACAAAGTGGAGAGAGAGAGAGAGAGAGAGAGAGAGAGAGAGAGAGAGAGAGAGAGAGAGAGAGATGTGGAGAAAGAGAGAGAGAGGAAAGTGAGAACTAACGTAACCTAACGTAACCTAACCCCCTCAAAAAAAAATACTTAAACTGAAAACAAAACAAAAACACGACAGTCTTTAAGCTATTCTACCGCCATCTTTAAACAGAGGTGAAAAAATACGAAAAAACACTAAAATATGAAAAATAGCTACAGTCACAGTACAAAAATGACGCCATATTGGATTTTATAATTATTATACCCAGTACGTACTAGATATATTGATAGAGTTTTTTTTTTTCGACTTAAATTTGAAGAAAACGAAGAAAAAAAAAGTCGGTGTTGTAAAAAATGACGATATGATTTTTTATTTTTTATTTTTTGCTATTTTTTGTTTTTGTTTTTACAGACAAAAATTATTGACCAATGGAGTCTGTTTTTTGTCGTCCCACCAATTATAGCTTCACAAAACTTCCTAATCTGTTGTAATTTTTTGCGCCTCAACCTCCCCTTCTCCTTGCCTCTCTCCTTCCCTCCTTCGGCCCTCTCCTTCCCTCCCTCCTTGCCCCCCTTCCTTCTCTCCTTCCCCTCCCATGGCCCTTTCCTTCCCTACCTCCTTTCCTCCTTGCCCCTTTTCCTTCTCTCCCTTGGCCCTTTCCTTCCCTCCTTCCCCCTCAATCCTTACTTCCCTCTCACCCCTCCCACGGCCCTCTTCCTTCCATCCTCCCATAACCCTCTCCTTCCCTCCTACCTTCTCTCCCTTCCATTGACCCTCTCCCCTCTTCCTTCCCTCCCTCACCCCCCTCCCTTCTTTACCCGTCCCTCCCTTGATCAATGAGTCATTAGATAAACGACGCGTCATCAACCAATTATGGCTCTTAGGTCCCATCTACACAGAGTCCATTATCCCTTGGCCCCCAGAGGAGAGGAAGGACGCGGAAGGGAGGAAAGGTGGACCGTGGGAGGGAAGGAGGGGGGGAGAGGGAGGGAGGGGAGAGAGGAAATGATATGATAGCAGCCCGGACATCCATAAGGCATTTGATAATAAACCTAACACCTTTATCCCATAGGGTCGACATTTGCCTGGTTCCCGATGTCTAACAGGGGTTAATGATGTTCGGTGTGAAGATAAACCTTATGGCATAAATCCCTATGGTCCAGTATTGTTTGTATTCCGATGCTTGGTAAAAGTTAATGACTGGGTTTGAAAATAACTCCTACAGCTTAATTACTCACGTGATCTGATACACGCCACTCAGAAATGGCCTTTATCTTCCTCTATCATATGGTTGGGATTCCAGTGTTTGTTTTACGAAATAACGGCTTTTTAACCTTTTGGGCAATTTATGACGTCACTGAGCATTTACTTCTCCAGCAAGTCTTTTGAAAATACTAACGAATCAGAATTACCCGACAGCTATTTCTAAACAAATCAGAATTCATGTTATCGACGGCCCCGCCTACTTTTAAACAATGAACCAATCACATCAATCCTGCGTGCGCATTCTGTTTACCTGTGACGCCGACCCAGACAACAGTGGATGTTAAGTTATGTCACAAGGTTAACTGTGTACGTAAACCAAAAGGTCAACACACGATACATTACAATACTTCCTATACACACAAATCAAAACACAATTTCCGCTGATCTTAAAACACACACACACACACACACACACACACACAAATCAAAACAGAAATTCCCACATGTGTTGAATCTGTTGTTATAAATCACCTCAGATGTTTCCTTCAAATGTTTACATACAGAAATAATAATAATTCCAATTCCCTCTCGACTCAATTATATATATATGGGGTAAAATAATTATAATAAATATATAAATAAAAGGTTGAAATTATACGAATGTGGAAGAATAATCCTCAGCTATTAAATTATTGTCATTATGAGTAATTTAATTCCAAATCTTCTGTCGTTAAATAAAAGACACAAACAAGATTAAAAACAAAAATAAAAATATAAATAAAATAAAAGTGGATTCTATACCTGCAGTATCCCGAGGCCCCACCCACTGACTCAACAGCAGCCTATCAAATCGCTTCAAATCGACAACACGTCTGCGTCCCGCCCACTCAAATTTATCCTGACAGTGATAAAGTCGATGGATTCCCGCTAAACTGTCCCGCTCCCGTCTCTAAAATCGCCAACTTTCTCGGGATCATTTTCATTTTTCAATACCCTCGCTTCCTATCACTCGTATCTGATTTTTACTCTTCAGAAACGATGACGCGTCCTTTTTTTTATACTGTAAGAGTGGACGGAGTGATGTCAGAGTAGGCGGAATGATGTCAGAGTAGGCAGAGTGATGTCAGAGTAGGCGGAGTCATGTCAGTGGGTGAAGTGATTGATTGTGGTAATTACATCCCTGGCGACGTATGGGCGGAGTGATGTCAGTAGGCGGAGTGACGTCAGAGTAGGCGGAGCGATGTCGGACTGGGCGGGGCGACATCACAGTAGGCGGAGTGACGTCAGAGTAGGCGGAGTGATGTCAGAGGAATAGCCATCAATAAAGCCGTCATTAGATATCGTATCAAAACAAAACTAAGAGACAAGCGGGTTAGTACTGTTCATATACACTTCCATCCCCCTTTCCTTCCTTCCCCTTCCCCCTCCTTCCTCTTCCCCCTCCTTCCCCACAGGTCAGTCCATAGTTTTCAAGGTAGAGTTAAATTTGGTAGGGAGGTGCGGGTGTCCCTCCAGCCGGGCGAAATCGGGTATAGTTCAGTTAATAGTGAACTAAGCTAAGGGGAGGGGGGGTAAGTGGGGGGTATGGGGGTGGAGGAGTGGAGGGGGAAGGGGAAGGGGTGCTAATCTTCAGGTGATCTAATAATGCTTGTTCAGTGTGTTCAGGTAACTCAGAATACGTCTTGTGAACATGGGTGAACATAGGTATACGAATTATCTTAACAATGTGAGTGTGTGAAAACTTATGAAACTAAATGATAATATTGTGAAATCTTTAATGATCATTGGAGCAGCCATCACAAGGGCAAAAGATGGTATGAATGATGATAAATTTCAACATATTTACATGGAAACCCAAACTTGACGCCTTACATTAAAGAATATTAGTACGATATTTAATGTAAACTAACTGAACGCATAGCTAATGGAGAAAAAACGTATAATATACATAAAAAATAACTTGCAATACCAAACGTGATTTTGGGAATAAAGTTCATAAACAATCCAATGAAGAACACAGTGAACGCATCATGTTTTCTTTAGTCATAGAAAACGGGATGAGGACCAGGTTAAAAGGCTGAGTTCACTTCACTACACTACACTATACATGTCAAGTGCATCAAGTGACCCCAGAGAGGAGGATGTCTTACAGAGCTGTCACCTCAAGCACTGGCGGAGAGACAGGACACTCAAGTGCATCTTAAGTGTGTCCCTTGAGCACGAGCGTAGTGGAATATCCCGCGAGTGGTGAAGCCGACCCGATATTTTTTACAATTTGTTGAGTAGTTATTAATTCAGGTTCATATTAAGTGCGTTTGTTAATACATACATACATACATACATACATACTGTACATACATACATACATACACAGTTATTGGAGTCAGATAATGGCTTCTTCACTCGAGATTATTATTATTATTATTATTACTATTATTATTATTATTATTATTATTATTAAGATAAATCTAAATATATATATTGTCTGTTGTTGATGGAGATAATTTATATACATATATAAATAAGCCAAAAGAGATTATATCTTAAACTCAAAGAAAACGCAAAATGGTTATACAAATTATATAAAATTAATGTTAAATGCAGCATAGACACGGACATTCTGGTAATGCATCCGTGTGTATGTCTGACCACGTGTTATTGTAAAGAGAAGGAACACACATATACATTGGTGTTAAAAATTAGCATAAATTCTATATTCGTGTTAAAATGGTATAAATTCTATGTTTCTAAGTAAAGAGAGGAGGAAGAAAATTTATGTTAATGTATCTCGTGTTTTGAGTGATAAAATTGAGGAATATAAAATAATAAAATCGCATATTTATCAATAGTTGTAAATAGCTCACAGAAAGTACACTAAAAAAAAACTATCACTACTTGGGGTGATCGATAAATGTCACAATGAACACTACGACTCCTGTTGTCTCGGTAGGGTTGTCAAAATCCTTCGTCCGTTGTGTCATATTGCCTCGACATAATTTCGTATAGATAGTTTTTTTTTTTGAGTGACTGTATGAGCGTCGATCTGAGGAGTAAGTTTGAGTTATTTAGAGAGAAGTAAGTTTGAGTTATTTAGAGAGGAGTAAGTTTGTTATTTAGACAGAAGTAAGTTTGAGTTATTTAGACAGGAGTAAGTTTGAGTTATTTAGACAGGAGTAAGTTTGAGTTATTTAGACAGAAGTAAGTTTGAGTTATTTAAACAGGAGTAAGTTTGAGTTATTTAGAGAGAAGTAAGTTTGAGTTATTTAGAGAGAAGTAAGTTTGAGTTATTTAGAGAGAAGT